GGATCTGATGATAGAAGAAGCACTGCTGGTGCTTCAACATTGGATCGGGTGCTATTTCCTACAAAAGTCAGAAGCAACATGTGATTGCTCTTTCATCAGCTGAAACAGAGTAAAGAGGAGCATTGGAAGCAGCAAAGGAAGCACTCCGCAAGAAAACGGCTGCGCGTTAGCGCAACGGCTTTCGCGCGAGGCGCCCCTATGTGAGTAAGGCCGTTGCTTGTTGCTCTCAGCCTACGTTTGCTGGAGTACCGGTTCTCTCTTCCGGTTCCTTTCCCTTCACTGCCGTAACTGACTTGCGCCTCGAACGAAAGCGGAAAGCACAAGAAGAAGAGGGAATTTAGTGATCCGCCCAAGCTATATATGAAACGGGTACAAGAACAAGATAGATTTGATTCAAAGTCCCCTCCGCCTGGACTCGCTTACAGAACTTTCCTTACTGAACCCTTTACCTGACGAGTTCCCGGAAATACAGAAATTCTACGAGCTACCGAAAGTAGGATTTCGTAGACGAGACCAGCACGAGAGATAGGATTTATCCAAAGTCGCTAGAGTACTAGCTTGAAACGTCGCTCTGTCTTTCTATCGGTTCCTTTCCATGAACTTACAGCTGGACCTATATTAGCCCAAGAACTAGAACAGAACTGAATTAGAAGTCAAAGTGCCATCGACCGTAACGGACAGATTTATTTTAGCCAGCTATTCGGAAAGGACAGAACGGAAAGAGTCTATCCCTAAACCGCTTAACTAAACCTTAAGCCTAGCTTACCGTAACGGAACTAACGAAAGTGGCTGTATCGGTTTACTACGGCACCTGCGGTGAGCTAAGACACAAGACACAGCACCTGTTGCTAGAAGTCAACTGCGCCTTAACCGCTAACCAAAACAGGAATTTATCTACGCTTCCCGTAACGGAAAGTGGATGTCTAACTTAAAGCGACTCGCCCAAGAGTCCCAGAACTGCTTTTTCTCTGAAAGCAGCCGAGACAACCGGCAGCAGACAGAGAACCGCTATAGCCAGTACCCGCTAGAGCTAGTACCCGATACAGAGCTCTTTCCGCTCGCACCGTTCAGTTCAGTTCAGTAAGGAAAGTCAGTAAGCTCGTCGGAAAGCAAGTCAAGTAGTTTCGGTACTCGAGTGCAAGAACCTTTGATAAAATCCTTCTTGTTCGGGTAGGCGCTCGTGATAGAGAAAACTACTTCTGCTGTTCCGGGCTTTGGAAGTCTTAGAGAAAGCCTCCTTTCTGCAGGTGCCGTAGTGAACTTCCGGAAGCGAGGCGCGGTACACTTTGAATACACTCGTTCAGTTGCGTTAGAAGAGGGGAAAGCTAAAGCGCTTAAAAAGGATTACAACTTAGCCGTTGTGAAAGCAACAAAAGGCAGAGAGAAGGAACTCAGAACGCGGCTTAGAGAAAGACAGAAGGAACACAACCTCTTTTCGAGACAGGAAGTAAGTTCAGTAAGTTAGTTTAGTCAAAGAACATTTGCTTTTCACTTCCGAATTTGATATATTAGCGGTTGGTTCTCACTTTGAAGTCGGCTTAGAGAATCAATCTTTCTTGTTCCAGCAGGAAAGTGACTTCTAGTTACGAGCAAGCGTATCGGATCAGAGAAACTAAACCGTTTTAGGGTAGTCGACTTTGCCAGGTTCTTCTAGGGGGGCTAGTGACTTTGATCAATCAACTCATTCCGTTACGGCTAGCGAGCATTTTAGGTAGCTAGTGACGCACGTTTATAGGGCTAATATAGGAAAATAATGGCTAATGGTCTAGGAGGTACTATCCATGACCTTTTCGTACGCTTGTCAGGGCTTGGGCTTGTGCTTTCTGCTTTCCGACTTCCTACTTCTGCATCATGCTGATTCAGATAGAAACTCCGTCTTTTCAGTCCTTTCCTCGTGGTAGGCGCCGTTGAGGTACTCTTGTGCTTTCTCTTGCTCTAGCGTTAAGGGCAGTCCAGTTCAAGGGGTCTCAGAAGAAACTCCTTGTTTGCGTTACGGGAAAGCAAGTACTTTTTGTATGTAAGTCAAGTTCTGTAAGCTTTTAAGGTCGATCAAAGAGAACAGTTCCAGCTC